ACATTGAAAAATTGTTTTTGACAAAACTCCCCCTTAATAAAATATTTAATGAAAATGATACCAATTGTTGGAAAATGTATGAAAAAGTTCAACTCCCCCTTTTTCATTAAGAATTTGATTTTTTTTCAAACCATACTTCTCCCCCTTTTTGTTAGATAAAAAAGAATTCAACTTTAAAGTTCAAAAATAACTTTGGAGAGTAAGTGGTAATTTTTACATTAAAAGCCATTTGAAAAATCAAAGCTCCCCATCAAAAAGTGCATTCCAAACAAAATTGACTTTAAAAACTTGACACTTAAACAAAATTGAATTTCAACAAAGAATAACAAACATGTTAGTAGTACATGAAATTCAATATATCCAAGTCTAAAATACTTTATGCAATACCAATTATTGAAATTAAGTACATGTGCATAAGTTTCAAATGTTATGCATTTGAAAATTTTGATATCAATTGTTAGAGAGATATCTTTAACATTTAAAAAACATGCATAAACATTTAAATTTAGGACAAAAACTTAAAAAAATTGAAATCGAAATATTTTGAAAATTTGATATCAATTGTTAGACAGATATCATTTGCATTGAAAATCAATTTTGACCAAAATTCATTATGATGAACTAAAAACAATTATGAAAAATCATTAAAACTTTAAAATGTTCATCATAACACCTTTTTCACCTACATGAGATGAAAAACGTCAAATCATTTAAAATCAAAACACATGCATGCTTAAATCAAAATGAGCATCCAAATAATCAAAATCAAAAGCATTAAGCTTGAGGTTACCCATTCATTTTCAAGTGTGTCTAGAGCATTTGAATATCTTCACTTTCATCACCATTGCTCCCACACACCTATAAGAGATATTTAATTGGATTTTGGTAACCAAATTTCTTTGGATCCTTGGACGTTAGTTTCAATGCCCTTTTTCCCTTAGGAACCCATACTTGTCTAACTTTAAAAGATTTTCGTTTCTTTATGGGACAAGTATGTTCCAAATGACCATAAAAATAACAATGTGAGCATTTTGTCTTTTTTAAACATAATGAGTTGTTTTGAGAAGTTAATTCTTTTTCTTTTCTTAAGCTCTCAAGCTTAACTTTCAAATCAAAATTTTCTTTTTCTAAATCATTGATTTTGAATTTTGAAAGCTCTAAATCATTTTTCAAAATTTCATTTTGATTTTCAAAATCAACTTTGGCTTTCAAAATCAAATCATTTTCAACTTTAAATTTTGAAATCAATGTCTTATATTTGGAATCCATGGTCTCAAATTCCAAATACAACTCATTATAAGCATCTTGTAACTCATTAAAAAAATTGAATTTAAATCATTAGAGTTAGAAGATACCATTGAATCTCCTTCGATGGCCATGAGACATAAGTTGGCTACTTCATCTTTATCATTGGAGTCAACTTCATCACTCCAAGCTGCCACAAATGCATTTTTCTTGCTTGATACCTTCTTCTTTAGGAGAGGATATTCATACTTGACATGCCCCGTTCTTTGACAATTGAAGCACACTGGGGGACCCTTATTCTTGGTTGATTCATGATTCACTTCCTTGGAAGACATGAATATCTTGAACTTTTTGAAGAGCTTGGTCATCTCTTCTTCTTCATCCACCTCTTCACTTGAATCTTGATAGCTCTTATTGGTGGACTTGAAGGTAATGCCTACCTCCTTCTTTTTCTTGTTTTTCTTCTCTTCATTTTCTTTCTCTTCCTTCACCATCAACTCATGAGTAATAAGAGAACCAATCAACTCCTCGAGAGTGAGAGAGTTAAAATCTCTAGCTTCGATAATTGTCGTCTTCTTCGATTGCCAAGATTTTGGAAGAGAGTAGATCATCTTCCTCACAAGCTTCTCATTGGAGATAACTTCTCTAAATCCCTTGAGACCATTGACAATCACAGAAAATCTATTCGTCATAGCTTTGATGTCTTCATCGGGTTTCATCTTGAAATTCTCGTAGCTATGGTTGAGAAGACTTATCTTGGTTTCCCTCACTTCATTGATTCCTTCATGAGTAACTTGGAGATTATCCCATATCTCCTTATCATTGGAACAAGAGGAGACTCTTCTATATTCATCCAGGCCTAATGCATAAAAGAGAATGTGAATAGCCTTAGCATTGAGTTGTAACTTATTCTTCTCTCCATCACTCCAATAATCCATCTCACCTGTTCGAATGGTGTAGCTTTTCATGATAGAGTTCCAAGCTCCTAGATCGTTGGCTTGAATGAAGAGCATCATCCTATTATTCCAATAGGCATATTTTGCTTCATTGAAGTAGGATGTCTTGTTGACCGGTTGTGAATCTTCAATATAGTAGGCATCAGAGGTTGAAGCCATTTTGTTATCAGTTGTATCGGGAATCGGTAGAGCTTCTTTGAGGATCGTCTCAAGGTGGTTAAACCTTCTAATGAGTTAAGCTCTGATACCAATTGTTAGGATTTGAAGAGGCTCAATTGAACAACTAAAAATGTGCAAAGGGGTTTAATTGATAAAAATGTGATTAGGGAATAAGGAGAACAAAAGATGGAAAAATTTAGCACTAGGATTTAAAATGGTCTGACTTATCAACCAAGTCTACATCCACTAGCTTAGCTCCTCACTAAGGATTTTCTAACAAGTTCACTAATTTATCTTATTTTTCAAGGACAAAGAGATAACCTTTACAACTCCTTATCTTTTGAATTTGCTAAGATGGAACCAAAAATCCCTTTACAAAAGGTAAAAAGAAGTAAACAAATAAACCTCTCAAAGGTAGTGTGTTTACAAGAATTTAGCTCACACAAACACAATATTTATAAAAGAAATGAAAATAAGAAAAAAAACTCTTCTCTTGTGTTTGATTGCTTGGATTGGTGTTTCTAAGCCTTCTTCAAGTGTCTTAAACTTGTTTTTATATGTTGGAATGTTGTTGTGGTCTTTTCTAGTCATTGGGAGTGTTTGGAGCCGTTGGGGATCAAATTTCGTGCAGAATAAAGTTGCCAAGAACAGAGGGTATTAGTACTCCTTAAGGGATTATCGATACTACCTTTTTCAATTAACTGTTACTAGTTGTTGGGGCCTGATGGTATCAATACTGTGCCTATTAAATCGATACTACTATACAGAGTAGTATCGATATCCATTTGGGTATCGGTACCATTTTTGCATTTTGGAATTTAAGCATTGCTGGTAGTATCGATACTACCTAGTGAGAATTGATACTTCCCTTACCTTTGGTATCGGTACCATATGAACAATATCGATACTACTTTTCCAGAAAATTGTTTTGTACTCAATTCTAAGTTTTAAGGACTTTGAATTATTTTTGGAAACTTTGAACAAATTCAATTAAATTCCAAAAACATTTTTCCTTAAATTGTTATATCAAAATATATTTCAACAGTATTGATTTCCAATAGTGCAAGGAATAGTAAATCTCCATGAATCCTTTAACTTTGGTGGCAATCTGCTCATGATTATGGATCTACACCCTTTAGTAAGTGCAATAATTTCGAACTTGCTATGTTTCTTGGAAAACACTTCTTTTATGAACTTGGATTAGTTAAACATTTGTTCTAATGCATCAATTAATGAGATATTGATCCTCAATTGCCTCAAAACATAAAAAACTTCTTGGATTGTTGGTCTTTCTTGGTGGTTTAGAATCGATGTGTGGTCTTTCTTTGAGTTGTAACAGTAATTATAGTGACATTGCTGGTGGTAATGGCTTAGATTTTCTACTTTAGTCAGCATTCTTTTCTGTAACATCAATATTGTGACTCAATCACCTCTTCAAGTTCCTTGCCTTTGGGTTGTAGGTTAGGTCTCTCGTTATTTTTATTTTTTTGTGCTCATCATTCTTCCCTAGTTAAAGTCCCCTTCTCATTGTGATGGCTTTACAATATTGGTTACAATGTGCTTTTATATTCACCTTAGAAACTCCAATGTCACTTGACAATGCTTTTTGGTGTTTGATGTTTAACGCATTGGCTAATTGTTCAACTTGATTCTCTAATGCTCTTAGTGATGTCGACTGACTTTGGATGATAACATCATTTCTTGACAATGGCGGATCCATAAATATTTTTAAGGGTGAGAACATATATATTTACAATATAATTTTTTTTGAATGAGGTAGTTATAAAAAAAATTCAAGGTGGACACCATCAATAGAATATATCACTAATCGAAGAAAATTTAGATTTCAGGGTAGACACCATTAATAAAATAAGTGACTAATAGAAAAAAATCAGATTTTAGGGTGGGCACGTGCATACCCTCCGCCCTTAATGGATCCGCCATTGTTTCTTGATATGTATTCCTTTAGTAGAAACCCAAGTGTCAATAATGTGCTAGCTTGGTTGGAAGTTTGCCCTTAATAATTATGTTGATTTTTGCATTGTTATGGTTATATTTCTTGATGATGTGACCAGTGATATGGTAGCATCGATTGCTACTATTCATATTGTTGATGTGAATGTACTATGGTTGTGTATTCTCAAATTTTGAATTCAATGCTATATTAAGTTAACTACATTATGACTTTCCCGTGATAGATCAATACGATTCTCGAAGTTTAGATTATAGGTGCAAGCATTGTTATTCCAATTTTAGTTTCTCATAGAATACAGAGAATTGGAATTTTATGCATATTCCTCAAAATTATAATGGTCACCACAGTAAACACAAGTAATAATAGATGTTGATTTGACTTCATGCATAACTCCAGGTTGTTGCGTCTTAATCATCATCTCAGTCAATGTTGTCACATGGATAATCAATGCATTCAGAGCATCATTGTCCATTGTAGCAACATATCTCCCTGACATAACCCTTGTATTAGGATATTAATAATCATTTTTGGAGATCAACTCAAGGATGTTATAGGCTTCATTGTGAGACTTTTCCAACAACGCTCCATTGGCTGATGTGTCCACAATCAATCGAAGTTGTATGTTAATATCATTATAAAATATCTTCATTTGTTTCTAATGTTAAAAATCATGCATTAAGCATTTACGCAACAATTCTTTAAATCTCTCCCCAAGCTTCATAGAAATTTTCATCCTCAAATTGCTTGAAAGATGTAATGTCATTTCTCAATATAGCATTCATGTTGGGAGGATTAAATCGCGACAAGAACTTTTGGGCAAGTTCATTCCACAATGCTATAACTCTAGTTGGGAATGAGTTAACCCATGCCTTTGGCTTTGTCACGAAGACAATAAGGAAATAATTTGGGCTTCAAAGCTTCCTCGGTAACTCCTTACTGAACAAAATTATTACACACTTCCAAGAATGCTCGTAGGTGTGCTCTTGGATCCTCTATAAATATCTCACTGTATTGTCTCATCGATTACAAATTTTAGAATATCATTTGTTTTAACTCAAACTGTGCAGCATAGATAGTAGGTTACATAATGCTAAAATTAAGATCATCCAATGTCGGCACAACATGGTACTTGATAGGGCTATTGCGGTCATCAATGTTGTAATAATTTTGCGGCATTGTAATATTTTATAAAGGTAGAGCACCATAGTGAGCCATGGTTGGTTGTTGTTAATGTTGTTGCCTCTCTCGGTGGATAGTTTGCTTGATTTCTAGATCAAACAATTCTAAGTCCTAGTTATTGGTATGTGTTATGCACCAACAACGCTATGCTAAAGCTACCTACACAAAAAAAAAACAAATTAAAAAAAAGAAAATAACTCTAAAAGTAATGACACAATCCCTCTCTCGGTGGATAGTTTGCTTGATTTATAGATCAAACAATTCTAAGTCCTAGTTGTTGGTAAGTGTTATGCACCAACAACGTTATGCTAAAGCTACCTACACAAAAAATAAAACAAATTAAAAAATAATAACTCTAAAAGTAATGACAGAGTCCCCCATAACGACTCTAAAAACTTAATGCTACAATTATTGCTATGACATTTAACATAAGTGCATGTATCATATTCAAGTAGTAAAATTGGACACAACAAGTATGTCAGATGTCAAACCCATATAGACTGATGATTAAAATCAGATTTGTTGATAGAAAAGTATTAAAATATGTATAAGTGTTGTTGTGAACAATGTTGTAACAAAGATACTGAAAAATAGAATAAAGTGGTCGGGATTACAACATACTTATATTAAGCCATGGATTTATTCAGGCAAAAGATTATGAGATGTAAAACAATAACATGCAATTTACAATATTGTAGCAACACTATTGATGTGTCTAGCATTAACCTAGTATGTTACTCCTCTTTTGAAGGTATTCACCAAACAACTTACAAAGACAAAATATATCTATATAGCAATCCAAACAAGCTTACTAAGAATGCTACGACAAAATAGTAAGCAAAAATATCTTTTATGCTAAATGTTACTCTCACAAAAACCAATGTTATGCATAATGCAATACATCTCTTGAAGCATTAATGGATAGTTTATATTTCTACAAACAAGCCAAACAAATAAAGCTTAAGCAACACCAATCAATGCTACTAAGGCAAAGCAAATAAACATGAAATTCATCAAATATATTCAAATATAATATCTAAGTTTAACATCCCAACATAAAGTAAGAGTATTTCCTCTTAAACAAATAAAATCTCCCTTTTTAAGTCGATTCTAAGTTAATAAGAAGATGCCAAAATCAATCGTCAACCACCGTTGTCACAACTATCGCTGCTTCACCTCTAAATGTTGATCACCCCGATGGATTCAAGCCTCCATGGCTGATGAGGAAAGAAAAAAATAAAATAGATATTAGGAAAGTTTGAAGAAAGGTGTGAAAAGTGTGAAGAGGGTAATTTTTATAACCCTAAAGGTCAAAACATCCTTCAACATGAAAAATATGATTTTCCTTTATTTTTCAACCATTTTACAACTGGAACAGAAAACTATCCGATTCTAGAAAAATCTATAACTGTCTATTGAGTCACTAGTTACTATAGAAACAACTCAATAATTCAGTCTAGCATCAACTCACAACAATCCCTACAGCATCAGATGTTGTCACAACATCAAGATATCATTTTACATCAAAATCATTAAATTCAGCACAAGAATTAATAATTTATGCTAAATATACAAATGATGTAAAATATGCTAAAATAAACCTAAAATGATCCTAAAGATGCTAAAGTTCAAGCTAAACCTAAGTAAAAATGTCTTAAATAATAACTCTTTTGGAGATTTACCATTGCTCATTGATTTTATTTTAAGAAGTTGTTTGGTCCATGAAATGTAAGATTATCATTAGAAATAAGATTATCAAAATGTTATATTATTTAACACAATAATAAGAATGTTGTATTATCTTATTCGGTTTGTTTAACATGAATATAAAATTATAGTGTTTAGTTGAAAGAATATAAGTTAAGAAAAATGCATGTTTCACCAAATTTTTGTTGAGATTTATGTTAACAAGTTTTTTCAAAAATGGAAATGTGCTAACATTATTTGTTTTGAATTAATCACTGATATTCGATCTATTGACCGACTAATTCAGATCATGTACTGTAGAGGCGAGGGCGACCCTCCCAACCCAGTTTGCTCCATTCACAAATGCCATGATTTGAACTTCTGACCTTGCTTAAGGGACCTAATGCCTCATCCGACTAAACCAACTAATTATTGGTAATGTGCTGGCATTATTAATACTAAAAAAAGTCCCATTGAAAAAGTGTTCCAAAAACACACAAATCAAAGAAAAAATATAACCTAAACCATATTCATTGTGTAAGCCAGCTCAACGCAACTAAAAAATCTAAAGCAAAATGTATATAAAAGGACAACAAACAAAAATAATAAATTAACAATAAAAACCATTGGCCATTTCATTTTTCCTAGAAAAGATTTCCATTGAAGCGCCTTAAGGCCATCTCTAGCCCTCATCTCTACTCTACAACATATTTATCTCTACTCTAAAGATGAAACAATAATTCATCTCCAGCACTAACTCTAAATTACCACCAACTCTACTTTATTCACAATATTTAACTATTATAATATTAATTTTGCAAATATAAAATAAAACATATATATTTCTAATAAATATCAAGATAAAAAGTATAAATTAAACATTCATAAATAACATTGCGAAAATACAGAGAAAATTGGAGAATTAAGGTATCTTCCTTCTACAATTGGAGAATTAAGATCTTGCAATTTAATCTACTTGAATTTATTATATTATGTTTAATTTTTATTTTATTGTGTAGAAATTACAATAAAAAACATAAAAGATAGAATAAAGAGAAAATAATGTAATAAAGAAAATGAAAAGAAAAAGAAAGTAAAAAATAACAAAAACCAAAAATCAGAAAAATAACAAAAAAAATGTAGTTGGAGCACTATCTCTACTCCAAAGTGACGATGGGCTGGAGCACTATCTCTAATACAAAGTGGAGATTTTCTTTACTCCAACGATACGATGGAGATGGCCTCAGAGAAGATAATAAAAACCTTTGATCGAACCTTTTATGCTCTCCTTCCTCTCACCTAACACAATCTATGGTGGATGAATTAACCTCAAGTCGTCGGCCACCTAAATCATTGTCTTTCACGGTTCTTCTTCAACCCAAAAGTGATCTGTCGAACCAACATAATTTTCCATCACTAAGCAGTGCGCCGCCTTGTTTCCATCTCTCGAGAAGAAAAGGAAACGACATGCATGCATCAATTCCGCTTTCTTCTAGGCCTCTCAAATCCAAGCACTAATTTCTGATGAGTCACGATCCTTGGAGGCTAATTTCTACATTACCTTATGAGAGTCTTCTTCAACTAAGACATCCTAGAAGCCCATGTTCATAGCAAATTGAAGAGCGTGAATAGCCGCCATCGCCTCTGCTGCGAAAACAGAGGTAACTCGACCCAGTCTTCGTCTACAAGCTCCTAAAACTGCTCCATTTTCATCTATTAAAACTGTGCCTGACAATCCATTCTGTAATAATACGAGAAAACTGGCATCAAAATTTGCTTTCACCGACGGAGGAGGGGGCAGACCAATACATAGTCGCCCGGGACATAGGGGACGCCCGTTCGAGTCTATGCCTTGCTATATTCAACGCAGTGGGATTTCAAAAAGGTAACTAGTTCCCTCGTAGTTGTGGCTTTCCCTTCATGTAATATCTTGTACCCAAAGTTATGGCCAAAAGACTGAAACATACTCAAAACGACCCCAATGAGGAACATGTCACAATCAATTCCCGCCTTTGTGCTGATCTGCCAATTCATGGTATCTCATCGTCATCAAGGTGCAATCTGACAGCTCAGCATCATCTGTCTCGGATCCCCCGCATCAGAAAACAACTCATCGTAAAAATAAGGATAGCCTGTAAAAAAGATTTGATAAACACCTCCTTACCTCCCTACGATAATAACTGAGTAATCCAACTATGTATCCATGAGGCTAATATTTCTTTTAAATGCGTGAAAGCCTTCCTCTTACTTCGTCCCATTACTACTCGTAATCCTAAATATTTCTGAAGATTTAATTAGCTTGATACATTTAAAATTCTGCGGACATCATCCCGATTCTCATTTATCACATTCAAACTAAAGAATAGTCCACTTTTGTCAAAATCAATGATTCTCATTTATCACATTCAAACTAAAGAATAGTCCACTTTTGTCAAAATCAATTTTCTACCCTGAACTCAATCCATGTTGAAAACGGTGCACATGGCACCGAAAAACATTAAATTGCTTTGTCAAAGGGGCACCGAAAGGTGCAGAATATATATATATATATATATATATATATATATATATTATGGTAAAATCATTTTGTCATTTTAATTTAGGCTATTTACAAATTAGTCCTTAAGCTTCAACTATAAATACTCTAGTTCATTTAGCTTCAAAATCATCCCAAAGCATTATAGCTTTCTTTCAATACTAGAGAATTTAGAGAGTTTCTTGAGAGTTTTCTCCTTTTTATCAAGAGAGAATTATAATTATTTTCTCCTTGGTAGATCGAGAGAAGTTGTAATTCCTATTTTTTTCATAGTGAAATTTTTCTACCGTTGCTCGTGGTTTTTACCCTATATTATTTAGGGGTTTTCCACGTAAATTTTGTATCTTCTTTATCTTCATTTTTATTTTCTCA